TGTGACGAGCAGATGCTGCACGCAAAACCGATGCATGACGAACGGAGTCACCAGTCCTAAGTGCTGGGCCTATAAGTTATATATATAAGTTGTATATATATATATATATATATATATAGTTATATATATATATATATATATATGAGTTCATTGTCTTTCTGACTGTCTAAATGGCAAATTCGGATATCAACCCTTTTGAATAAATGGGACATGCGTACGTTGCAAAAAACAGGTTGTTTCTGGTTGGAAGGGTGTGCTTAGTGCCGAGAGGCTTAACGAATGAACATCGGTCAAAGGTTGACATTTTAATTGCTGACCGTGAAAATACGAACCCGTTCACTACACTTGTGCAGTTGGCTAATTTGACTTATCGTTGTTGCTGTGACCAACTGGTGATAAAATTAGGCAAATTGGCACCGCGTGACCAGTCAACTTTGTTAGCGCCAATGATGGTTTCATGCATCCAGAGAGTGGATTTTCAAAGTCACAAAAACTACGGCAGTGAGCAGTTGATGAAATACTACAGTGGCTTTGAAGGAAGATTGATCAAAACGAACTCACACATTTTAAGACAGAAACCTATCTGCGAAACCAGCGACAAGACTGTAGACTAACTTATGAACAATATACAGGATAACCTAGAGTTTTCCAAGGCGCACCACAGTGGTAATGAGAAAGTCGGATTACGCTGAATATACCAAGCTAGTACACCAGAGAAAGAGCTGTGCTCAAACCCTGTTCAAGAGGGCGGATACACACTACAGCACCACTGAAATAAGGAAGAAGGAAGAGAACCACTCATTAAAAGTATTCCAGAACAACGGATATCCAGGGAATTTTATCGAGAAAAGCTTGAAGAAGACATCTCGACAAAAGTGGCAGCAAAAACAAGTGACCAGGTGGGTAGTTCTGCCTTACATCTAGAATATATCTGAGCTCAGAGCCAGACTGCTAGCTCAAAATGACATTCCCGTAGTCCACAAACTGAACTCCAATTTATGGAAGTTGACCTCGAAACCGAAAACAAAACAAAACCGAAGACATGTCAAATGAACTGCAATAAGTTCTACCTTGAGCAAACTGGGAGGGAATTACGCACACGATAAGAGAATACTACGCGGCCGTCTGGACGAAAGATGCTCTATCCTTGATACCTAGACCGAGAAGCCTGGTGGGTCTGGAAAGCCCATGAAACGGAAGCTAGAAATGCTGGAGCTGTCTAGAGGTTGGTCCAATCGATTTAGATAACAAAACTCGTCGGCAAATCACCAAAGACC